GCAAAGGCCAGCTTAGGAGGACCCTAATTAAGTTAATAACAATGTACCTACCTATATAGTTTAAGTTTAAAAAATTTGGCTCTGAAAAGAAATTTCAGTCATTGTACTGTTGATATTTGGTTCTGTTGACTAATGAGTTTGCTGACCACTTATTTAGATGAATATATTTATATAGATACACCTGAAATAATAGCCCCTAAATGTTGACAGTGATTATTTCTGTGTGGCAAAATAGGAAATAATTTTAAAATTATTTTACTTGTTCTTTTTTAATTGTCTGAATGTTTTTATGTACTATTTGCATTACTTGTTATACATAAAACAATTCTTATTCTAAATTAATTATGAAAATTAATGTAAATGATATTTGATTTAATCAACACAAACTAGAATCACAATGGTCAATGACTTTTTAAAATGCAAATGTATAGGATACCACTCTAATAAAAAAAGGACAAAAACAAAAGGTGAAATATGGACATACATTAAAAATATATAGTGCAGATTCTCTATTTAGTTAGTAATTAAAGAAATTGAAGTTCAAATCAGCTTTTCTTTAAAAAAAAACCACATGCTTATAAAGGATTACTGCAATTCAACATTTGTCTGGGTTTTTAAAGTATTAATAATCTTTTGCAACTTAAAAAAATTTAGCCTGTAAAGATACTAAAAACATGTAAACAAACACTTATGTAAATGGATGTATATTTCACTGTGATTTCCAGAGAAGAAAAACAGAAACTAACCTAAAAGTCCAACAATAGAATAAATATTGGAGGCCATAATAAATAAAAGTTTTCCATTTTGAGCTTTCACAACGTGCCCAGTTTTGTCAAGGGCTTTGTATATGTGATCTTATTTTATCTTTATAATGACACAGAGAAGCAGGGACTATAAACATTTTACACATGACAGATTGCCCATCTGAGAGATTAGAAAGCAAGGTGGAGATTACAAAACTCATGCATGATTAAAAGATGAATGTTCCTCAATATTATGTACTTCTTCTATAGTAATATAGTGCATCCATTTATTTTTATTTTAAATCTTTATTGTTGAAAGTATTACATATGTCCTCTTTTCCCCTCCCATTGACCTCTTCTAGCTGGCCCACGCCCCCCACCCCAGGTCTTCACTACCCTATTTTCTGTGTCCAGGGGTTATGCAAATATGCACGCAAGTTCTTTGATTGATCTTGTTGAGTCATGATTGAATTTGTCTGTAAACAATGCCAGTCACGTATAAATGTTATATCATTAAAACTTTGGGTATTTACAGACTTCAAAAAAGTCAGTGCTGACTTCTGGTTTCCAGTTTCTCATGTTATATGCTTGGACATCACCACTCTCCTATAACTCTTCTTGGATCCATAAGAGAGGGAAGGGCACAGGGCATCCCCCAAGACTGGTGAGACAGATAAATCAATACAGGGAGTCACGACTTACCAGAGCAGAGACTAAGTTCTATGGGAACCAATGCCAAGGTAGGAACACCTGAACCATCCTATATAATAAAACCCTAATATGCAAATCGACCAAACTGCAGAATGACCAGTTGCTATGATGCATACTGACCACCAGGGGGCAGACGCTCAAAGCAGGAGTTACCCCCTGGTGGTCAGTGCACCCCCACAAGGGGGAGTGCTGCTTAGCCAGAATCCCTGAGCCAGGCTCATGGCTGGCAACCAGGCTCACGGCTGGCAAGCACAGCGGCGATGGTGGGAGTCTCTCCCGCCTCCACAGCAGCACTAAGGATGTCCGACTGCTGACTTAAGCCCGCTCCCCATCAGTCGGACATCCCCCAAGGGATCCCAGACTTCGAGAGGGCGCAGGCTGGGCTGAGGGACACCCCTCCCCCCCGAGTGCCTGATTTTCGTGCACCGGGCCTCTAGTAATTTAATGATTGCAGGAAGCTCAGTCTGAACAACTCTGAGAATTAAACATTCCAGAAGAACAGTTTTGGGGTATGGAACACCCTACAATTTTGTGATATTTATCTCTAGGAACTCAACCAGGTTCTCTCTTCATGTTTTTGTTGCTGTTGTTATTGTTTTTAATGTTTTTTTTTTAATTTTTATTTTTCAATTACAGTTTACATTCAGTATTATTTTGTATTAGTTTCAAATGGACAGCATAGTGTTTAGATAATCAAGTATTTTTCAAAGTGGTCTCCCAACATTTCAAGTACCCACCCAGCACCATACATAGTTATTACAATATTACTGACTATATTCTGTATGCTGTAGTTTACATCCCCATGACTGTTTTAAATCTACCAATTTATCCTTCCTAACACTTTTATCTTTTCCACCCAGTACCCCTCCCCTCCACCCACATACTCTCAAAACCATCAGTGGGCTCTCTCATCTACCAATTTATACTTCCTAACACTTTTATCTTTTCCAACCAGTACCCTTCCACCCACATACTCTCAAAACCATCAGTGGGCTCTCTGTATCTATGAATCTGTTTCAGTTTTGTTTGTTCATTTATTTCGTTCTTTAGATTCCACATATAAGTGAAATCATGTGATCTGTCTTTCTCTGCCTGACATATTTTATTTAGCGTAATACCCTCTAAGTTCATCCATGCTTTCGCAAATGGTAAGATTTCATTGTATATATGTACCACAACTCTTTTTTTTTTCGATAACAGTTATGTTGGAGTACTTACTCTTTGACCTTGCTCGACTACACCAGCTGTGGGAGCACAGGTCTTCTTGACTAGGGATTATGCCCCTGTAGACACCTGGCATTAGACAGAGAAGACAATATGAACAGTCATAAGTATATAGGAGAGTCTTCATTGTAGGCCAAGTAGCCATTGCTTACAAGGAGCCATCAGACAAAACAGTTATTCAAAATAGCTTCACAAAGTAGCCCTACAAAACAGCAGTAAACATAGAAGCCATTGCTAACAAAGCAGCCAGACCGAGTAGCCTCACACTGGCTGGTCAGTAACACATCTTTATACTAACTGAGACAAGAGTCTTCTTGACAAATGGCGACATCAGTATTTGGGTTATAGAAAAGTACGCCTGTGCAGTGCATACAGTAATATTGCTGTATCATTACTTTTGCCCCTGTGTGTGACAAATTGGCCTTGACCATCTGGCATACTCTGCACAGGGCCCCTACACTGCTATTGGCCTTGAACATCCAGTGTACTCTGATTGGGGTTCCCACAGATTAACATTCAACATTATTCTGCATCAGTTTCAGATGTACAGCATGGTGCTTAGACAATCATGTAATCCCCTTGTGCTGTCAGCAGGGGAGAATGAAAGGAGTCATTTTGAAATACACTAAAGCAAGCTGATCTTCTTACCCAAACCTACCCTCAGGAAAAACTAGTTAAGAAGAACCTAACCTGTTGTGGTTTTATCAGAGCCTGACTGAATGAGGAGAAGGAAATACCCAACTCCAGCCCAGTCGAGCCATCTGTCCTACCCATGAGGGGGGAAGAAACTGAGAAACACTTGTGATGTTCACAGACTAGAGACAAAGTCTCATTAAAAGACAGACCTAATCATGGGTCTATAGACATACCTCAGATTGCATATTCAGTTTCAGACATCTGCAATAAAGCAAATATTGCAATAAAGTGTCACACAAATATTTTGGTTTCCCACTGCACATAAAAGTTATGTTTACACTGTACTATAGTCTATTAAGTATTCAATAGCATTATGTTAAAAAAACAAAAGTGCATACTGTAATTTAAAAATAACTTTATTGCTAAAAATGTTAACCATTTTATGATCCTTAAGTGAGTTGCATTCTTTTTGCTGGTAGAGGGTCTTACCTTCAATTTGTAAAAAACTCTATATGTGAGAAGTTCAATAAAGTGAAGCACAGTAAAATGAGGTATGCAACATTCACCTCCACCCACACCTCACCACCGCATTACCAAAGGTCTATTTGCAGCCATTCCTTTTCCCTACCAGGTTCAACATGTCCGGCTGTCAAGAAACATTTGCAAAACACACCAAAAAGCAAAACAAAATAGATCGAAATCCACAGAACAAAAATTTGAAGAGAGAGAGCAAGCATGAAAACCAGAAATGGCAGGGGTATTGTAATCATCAGACCAGGAATTTTAAAAACCTGATTAATATGCTAAAGACTTGAATGGGTAATGTAGAGAGCATGCAAGAACAGATGAGTAATGTGAGCAGAGAGATGGAAGTCATATGAAAGAACTAAAAACAACCCTAGAGATCAAAAGCACTGCCACATAAATGAAGAATGTCTTTGATAGGCTCATTAGTAGATTGGACATGGCAGAAGAAAGAATCTCTGAGCTTGAGGACATCTCAATAGAAACCTTCAAAACTGAAAAACACAGAGAACAAAGACTTAAAAAAAATAACCAGAAGAAATTATCTAAGAAATGTGAGGCAACCACAAAAGGTGTAACATATACATAATGGGAATACCAGAAAGAGAAGAAAGATGGAAAGGAGCAGAAATATTTGCAATGATTGAAAATTTCCCCAAATAAAAAATGTAGGTGTATAGTTGCTTATCACAATGTTATTTATTTTTCAAAAATATTATTAGACTCTAGATTTGCATAATAAGAAAATAGATTAGCATAGATTTTTAAGTGAATCTGCATCCATTAAGACTTTTCAAATTTCTTTATTTAGAAAGATACATAAAATATGAAATTCAGTAGGAAAGGAATAAAAATGTATGTTAGATCTCAATTCTATTTATATGTAGAGAAAAGTGTTTTAAAAAGGCAGAATAAAATAAATATCTTAGTGGGTTTGTATGTAAAATGTTTACTTC